AAGCACCGTCTGATCTGAAGCAGGGCGCTAGCCTCTAGCCAGGGCATTGCAACTCGATAGTTGTTACAAATCAGACTGACACGCTGCAAAGCATGCATTCGCGCAGTGGCGCGCCGCTCCTGCAAACTTAAGGCCTCAGTGGCGTCAAGAAGCTCCCTGCCAAGTTGTCCCAGCAAAATGATATCTTTTGAGTCAAAGGTGCCCAACATGCACGTGACTACAAGGAGGCGTCCTCTTCGCGTGCGCTCCGTGCAAGTCTCAAAAGGCGCCATGAGAATCTCGCTGGCATGAGGCATAGCAAAACTGTCCCGTGTGTATACATCTTGCCAAAATATATGTCGTTTATGCCCTGGAATTTCCAACAGACGGCGCGGTGTGCACATTTGGCGAAGAGTGAGGTTTGGTCCCATGCGAGCTATTATGATTATCCTCTGGTGCTCGTCATATTCCCATATTTCAGCGCTCCGTGCACATAATATGCACTGCATGGCTGACTGGAGGCATTGGTTGAATAAATCCATGCTTGTGCTGTTGGGAAGTCCTGGTACAGAGATGATTCTTTTTGCATGCACAGCTGAGCGAAGCCTAAAGGTAGTCAACTGAGACATCGCGGCGTGACCGTTTACAGACCTGATTAGATGTTCTCCTATAGCTCTCCCTGCATACTCTACGAAGCCTAAGAGGGCAGAGTCGCATGGTATGCCCACGCCGAGACTTGCAGGAGTCGGTTTAAGCAAGTCTTTCATTGTTCGGAAGGAGATTTCAGTTTCGCAACACCCATCTTCCCAACGCACCGTGTAGACAGAGCCTATGCCTCTGATGCGATTGATATCCACAACGCGACCACATATAACACGAGCGGCCACGACACGAGTCGCGATATTAGCATCTCGTTGCCTCCACAGTTTGACTCTTTTACAACCCTCGTCATTTTTGTCGACAAAGGGCCTCAGCCTGTCGTAGTAATCTGGAGATGTGCGAACCTTTTTGGGGCAGCTGGCACTCGAATTGTTGGGCGCCACTCCAGCTCCAAAATCCAGCGAAGTCGCATCAGAACACAACCCATTCACGGTGAGAATGCCTATGGGACGTCCAACCATAGCGCGTAGCGGCGTGCATATACATGGGAAATCGCCAGTTCTAGATTTGGCCAAACGAAGACCGAATTGCTTCGCGGTTTCAACGCTTTCGATGATGACAGTCTCACTGCTGTTTAAGCACTTCAACGCGACGCCATTGTTGGGTTCAATGCGGCAAGTTTTTGTGCCATGTT